AGGGATGAATTGTTTATGAAGAAAAAAGAATGGAAGAGGAGGAGGAGGAGGAGGAGGAGGAGGAGGAGGAGGAGGAGGAGGAGGGGGAGGAGGAGAGGAAGAGGAGGAGGAGGGGAGGAGGAGGAGGAGGAGGAGGAGGGGGGGGAGGAGGAGGAGGACGAGGAGGAGGCGGAGGAGGAGGAGGAGGAGGAAGAGGAGGAGGAGGAGGAGGAGGACAACGACGACGACGGGGATCAGGAGCAGGAGGCCCAGACAGCCTGGAGGCGCGCAGCCCGTCGGGGAGCTCGCCGGCTGCAGGTGTGCGGGTGCGGGCACGGCGGCCTCGACCCACGGCAGGCACCGCATCGCTCGTCGGCCACCAGTGGCGGACGGGGCAGTCCCACCAGCCTTTTAGGGCGTAAGGTGGTTCAGGGAGTTTCCTCTTCCACCCCTCCCGCTTTAGATTTCAGCGCGCGCGTGGAAGCCCTCAGGTCAGGTCCGTAACCTTCCTCAGTCCGAGTCAGACTGGAAGGAGCTAGCCCAAGAGCATGAGATTATAATCTCACCAGCCCTTTAGGGCGCAAGGTGGTTTAGGGAGTTTCCTCTTCCACCCCTCCCTCTTCCCCTTCGGGGAGGGGCTTACCCCTCCCCCTGCCCCTTCCCCTGGACGTGGGCAAAGGGTTTCGCGGGTAGTTGGAGCGTCCATAACGGCCTCGGCGAGGAAGCCAAAATCACTTGTTTTTTAAGTTTTGACCCCATTTGGGACTTCTTGAGGGGGGCGGGGACTAATTAGGAAACCCTCCTTTGATCGATCTCCTCAGGGCTCCCAAGGCTCCCACGGGTGCCCCAAGAGGGCCCCAAGAGGTGGCCAGGAGGCCCCAGGAGGCCCCCAAGACGCCCCCAGGATGCCCCCAAGAAGCTCCCATGAGACCCCCGACAGACCCCAACAGGCCCCCCAGAGGCACCCAAGAAGCTCCAAGAGGCCTCGGCGATAATAGTAAAGTCATTGATTCCCAACCCTCCTTGGATGGGCATTCGTTTTGAATAGAGGGTGTGGTCGCGTCCTTCTTCTCCCGCCTTCCGCCTCCCACCTCCGTCTTGCCTCCTCTCGCCGTCCCCGGGGGGGTGCGATCTGTGAAGCTGTCGCCACTTTCGAGAGCTGCTGGGATGGCCAACAGAGAGGGTACTCACTGCGGATCCAAACGGGACCTCGCCGTCCCTGGGGGGCTGCGATCTGTGAAACTGTCGCCACTTTCGAGGGCTGCTGGGGAGGCCAGCAGAGAGGGCACTCACCGCGGATCCAAACGGGACCTCGCCGTCCCTGGGGGGCTGCGATCTGTGAAACTGTCGCCACTTTCGAGGGCTGCTGGGGAGGCCAGCAGAGAGGGCACTCACCGCGGATCCAAACGGGATTTCGCCGTCCCTGGGGGGCTGCGATCTGCGAAACCACTTTCGAGGGTTGCCCGGGGGGCCAGCAGAGAGGGCACTCACCGCGGATCCAAACGGGACCTCACCGCCCCTGGGGGGCTGCGATCTGTGAAATTGTCGCCACTTTCGAGGGCTGCTGGGGAGGCAGGCAGAGAAGGTACTCACCGCGGATCCAAACGGGACCTCGCCGTCCCTGGGGGGCTGCGATCTGCGAAACCGTCGCCACTTTCGAGGGCTGCTGGGGAGGCCAGCAGAGAGGGCACTCACCGCGGACCTGAGCGGGACCTCGCCGTCCCTGGGGGGCTGCGATCTGTGAAACTGTCGCCGCTTTCGAGGGCTGCTGGGGAGGCCAGCAGAGAGGGCACTCACCGCGGATCCAAACAGGACCTCGCCGGCGCTACGACCTGTGAAGCTGTCGCCACTTTCGAGGGCTGCTGGGGAGGCCAGCAGAGAGGGTACCCACCGCGGATCCAAACGCGACCTCGCCGTCCCTGGGGGGCTGCGATCTGCGCAACTGTCGCCACTTTCGAGGGTTGCCGGGGAGGCCAGCAGAGAGGGCACTCACCGCGGATCCAAACGGGACCTCGCCGTCCCTGGGGGGCTGCGACCTGTGAAACTGTCGCCACTTTCGATGGGCTGCTGGGGAGGCCAGCAGAGAGGGCACTCACCGCGGATCCAAACAGGACCTCGCCATCCCCAGGGCGCTACGACCTGTGAAGCTGTCGCCACTTTCGAGGGCTGCTGGGGAGGCCAGCAGAGAGGGTACCCACCGCGGATCCAAACAGGACCTCGCCATCCCTGGGGGGCTGCGATCTGTGAAATTGTAGCCACTTTCGAGAGCTGCTGGGGAGGCCAGCAGAGAGGGTACCCACCGCGGATCCAAACAGGACCTCGCCATCCCTGGGGGGCTGCGATCTGTGAACTTGTCGCCACTTTCGATGGGCTGCTGGGGAGGCCAGCAGAGAGGGCACTCACCGCGGATCCAAACAGGACCTCGCCATCCCTGGGGGGCTGCGATCTGTGAAAGTGTAGCCACTTTCGAGGGCTGCTGGGGAGGCCAGCAGAGAGGGCACTCACCGCGGATGCAAACAGGACCTCGCCATCCCTGGGGGGCTGCGATCTGTGAACCTGTCGCCACTTTCGAGGGCTGCTGGGGAGGCCAGCAGAGAGAGCACTCACCGCGGATCCAAACAGGACCTCGCCATCCCGTGGGGGCTGCGATCTGTGAAACTGTCGCCATTTTCGAGGGCTGCTGGGGAGGCCAGCAGAGAGGGCACTCACGCGGGGATCAAAACAGGACCTCGCCATCCTTGGGGGGCTGCGACCTGTGAAACTTTCGATGGGCCGCAAAGAGGGCACTCACCGCGGATCAAATGGGACACTCGCCAGCAGAGAGGGCACTCACCGCGGATCCAAACAGGACCTCGCCATCCCTGGGGGGCTGCGATCTGTGAAACTGTCGCCACTTTCGAGGGCTGCTGGGGAGGCCAGCAGAGAGGGCACTCACCGCGGATCCAAACAGGACCTCGCCATCCCTGGGGGGCTGCGATCTGTGAAACTGTCGCCACTTTCGAGGGCTGCTGGGGAGGCCAGCAGAGAGGGCACTCACCGCGGATCCAAACAGGACCTCGCCATCCCTGGGGGGATGCGATCTGAGAAACTGTCGCCACTTTCGAGGCCTGCTGGTTGGTCCTGCGGAGTGAGGCACCGCGCGGACCTGAGCGGGACCTCGCCGTCCCTGGGGGGGGCTGCGATCTGAGAAACTGTCGCCACTTTCGAGGGCTGCTGGTGGGTCCTGCGGAGTGAGGCACCGCGCGGACCTGAGCGGGACCTCGCAGCCCCTGGGGGGCTGCGATCTGCGAAACTGTCGCCACTTTCGAGGGCTGCTGGTGGGTCCTGCGGAGTGAGGCACCGCGCGGATCTGAGTGGGACCTCGCAGCCCCTGGGGGGCTGCGATCTGCGAAACTGTCGCCACTTTCGAGGGCTGCTGGTGGGTCCTGCGGAGTGAGGCACCGCGCGGACCTGAGCGGGACCTCGCCGTCCCTGGGGGGCTGCGATCTGCGAAACTGTCGCCACTTTCGAGGGCTGCTGGTGGGTCCTGCGGAGTAAAGCACCGCGCGGACCTGAGCGGGACCTCGCCGCCCCTGTGGGGCTGCGATCTGCAAAACTGTCGCCACTTTCGAGGGCTGCTGGTGGGTCCAGCGGAGCGAGGCACCAGGCATATCTGAGCGGGACATGGCAATCCATGGGGGGCTGCGAGCCTCACGAATGCCGCTCGCAGAAGTATATGCGCCCATGTCACGTCATCACCTCCGTATAACGACTCCCAAGCTACTCATGCCCCGCATTGCGCAGGGGTTGGGTACGTCGCCAGGGTAAGTTTACCAAGGTATTGGCCACATGTTGGCCTCCTGGATGGGGGGGCACTGGGTAAGATCACTCCAAGAGCGCCTGGGAGACCCCAAGATGACCTCCAAGATGGCCCAAGATATCCCAAGATGCCTCCAACTGGCTCCCACGATACTCCAAGACGGCTCCAAAGGGACAAAGAGCTCCCCCAGGAGGTCCCAAAGAGGCCAGAATCCTTCCAAAACCGTGCGAAACTCCATGCTTTTGGCTGTCTCGCCTTTTCGCTTCGGATGGCCATCCGAGGCCTCAAGATGGCTGCAAGATGGCCCAAGAGGGCTCCAAGAGACTCTCAAGAGAGCCCCAAGACGGCCCCAAGAGCGCCCGAAGAGCGCCCCAAGAGGGCCCAGGAGGCCCCAGGAGGCCCCAACAGGCGCCCAAGAGGCCTCCAACAGGCTCCCAACAGACCCAAGAGGCCCCAATAAGCTTTCCGAGGCACCCAAGACGCTCTTACAGGCTAGATGGTGCATACTTTGGAACGCCAGGTCACCAAAGAAGGCGAAGAAGGGCAAAATGAGTGGTGGGTTTTGTATTCGAATGTGACGGAAGCCACTGGGAGACCCAAATACGATGGGGCCGTTCGGTAAGGAATATGACGAGGAGGCTGCAGACCCTGGGTCGTATGGATGTGGGCAAATCGTATGACTTGCTCAGGTTCGTGAGGGTTGGGTCGGACGAATGTGCACCGAATCGCATGTTTCGCATAGGATGGTGAAGGTTTGGTCGTATGGATGAGGGTTGCGCTGAGGCGAGAGCCAAATGTTGAAAAGGAACTGGCTTGTCTTTGAAACTGCTGCAAATTTGCAAGGCGAACTTGCGCGGCGCTGAATCGAGAATCACGTCTTGTAAACGACCCGGGCTCCATCCTCGAAACTGTTGCAAAATGTTGAAATGAATGTGCGCGGCGACAAGGCGAGAGCCACATGTTTAAAACGACCCAGGCTCCATCCTTGAAACCATTGCAAAATTGCAGCTACAGGGCCGTATGCGGCCAAGAACCCCCAAGCGAAACGCACAGCCCGGACTACGGACACGTCTGGTGGTGCGATAAGGAGCTGCTACGCGGAGCCAGACGGGAGGCCGGAGGAGCCAGGAGGGAGCCTGGAGAGGGTTCGTGATGAGGCGGTGCGGCACGGAAGCGCCGCACCGCTGGCGCCGCGGGAGGAAGCCCCCCCACCCCACCCCTCCTGGATCTGCTGCACGGACACGGTCGGCCTGTGCGTCATCTTCCCGAACTCCTTCATCAGTCTGGTCTTTACCTGGCGGGCCCCGGAGAGAGGGAGGGAGAGAAAGAGAGAGAGAGAGAGAGAAAGAGGGATAGATAGGGAAAGAAAGAGAGAGAGAGAGAGAGATACTGAGACAAACGATGACGTAGAACAGATATGGGAGAGTGAGAAGAAAGAAGAGGGAGATACGAGAGACGACGAACGAGAGAGAGAGAGACGAGAGAAAGAGCGATGGAGAGAGAGAGAGAGAGAGAGAACAAAAAAATATATAGATATACTGCATGCTATGCACTATGTGTACTTATATATTTGTTCTCTTGAGCGGAGAAAAGGAGAAAGACTATGATGCCGTGATGCGACAGGCTCGAGACAAGTCCTCCAGGAGCTCCAGAAATTCTGGTGGCCTTCGTCTCGGGAGCCCGCGCGGAACAAGAGGAAACGTCGGAACGCGTCATTGCCGTGAGCCGTGGCCCATATCCCTATCCCCTGAGAGTAACACCCGGGGGATAATAAAGGTCGGGGTCATGGGGAATAATAAACGATTTGCCCCGGCAAGTCGCACGTGGGATGTAAGACGGGGAATGATGAGGTCCTCGTCGTCGTCGTCGACGTCGTCGCACGAAGACGATGACGGCGACGACGACGACGACGACGACGACGACGACGACGACCTAGTCCTGCCACACGTTCGTGACTTCGGAAAGCTGCGCTGGTGAATCCCACAACAGTGCCACACGTTCGTGATTTCGGAAAACTGCAACGCTCAGACTCTCATATAACACATACTACACGGAGGGAATGGGAAAGGAGAGAGAAGTGAAGGAGAGGAGGAGGGGTGGGAGAGGAGAGAGGCCCCAGGAACAGTTTTCTCCGAGCAGAAAATCTGATTCGGGGCATTGCGTTTTTCCCAACCATCCTGTGGTATTGGGTCCTCGTTTTGAAGAGACAGCGCCCCGCGTCTCCTCCTCCTTCCTTCCTCCTCCTCCCCCTCCCCCCGCTCCTCCCTTCCCTTGCGCCCCTCACACGTTTCGTGGCCCCACATGGAGATCGACCGAAGGCTCCAGTGGGAAAGTCCGCATGCAGTTCCACCCAATTTCGGCGCGCCCCTCACGCGGTTCGCGGCCCCATAAGGAGTTACACCGAAGGCCCCAGTGAGAAAGTATGCGCGCAGTTCCACATCCATTTCGGCACACCCTTCACACGATTCGTGGCCCCATAGGAAGCTCCACCGAAGGCAGTTCGCATGCAGTTCCACTCCCCATTTCGGAGCACCCCTCACACGGTGTAGTAGTAGTGGCGGTAGTAGCCATAGATATAGAGAATTCAGGATAACCCTGGCACACGTTGGTGTCTCGGGAAAGTTGAAATGGTGAGACTCTCAGATATCCCTGCCACACGTTCGTGACTGGGGAAAGCTGAAATGGTGAGAATCCCACAGCCCTGCAGCACGTTCGTGATGATGTCTCAACTCAACGTAAGAAGGTAGCAGCTTCGATTCGCAACTCTCCCCCGCGATCATAGAGTTCGGCCTTGCCGCCCCTCTCCCCCGACCAACTCTGTCTTGGCCGGGGAGAATCAATTCTCAGGGGTTGAAGGGGGGTGCACGTCGTTCATTTCTAATCGTACTCATTTCTAATTGTGCTCGTTTCTAATTGTTCCTGGCCCCCCTAGTGGCCAGAAATGGAAGGATCTTGGCCCCCCAGAAAATCAAAGAACTTTCGAATAATTAGAACTGAAAAATGTGAATGACTTATCATCTGGGGCTCGGGGTTACCATGCCAAGGGGGGTCACCAATGGGGCCGCCCCTCCCCCCTCCAGAAGGCGGACCCCCCCCCCAGAACCCCGGGACTCCCAGGGACGCCCAGACTCGCCCAGAGCCCCCTCGGCCTTCGACCCTCCCTCCTCCCTGACCCCCGACTTCCAGGAAGAGGGGGTGACCTCCCCACTGGTCGGGTGTTGCTAGAAGTGCCCCTGGCCCAAGGTGCCCCCAGCCTTTCGCTCCACTTTGGAGCCCTCTGGCCCTCGTGAGGGGTGCCCTCGTGAGGCCGTCTGGGCCACCCCGAGAATCCTGGGGGTACCTTGCGCCAGGGGTACTTCGAGCAGCACCCGAGCTGGTGCCTCCCCTTGGCGCTGCCCGAAGGACTTCTCTTGCTCTCGCTCCCCCGAGTGACTCCTGGCTCGCCTGGCGGCCGACACGCCCGGGCGCGACGGCGGACGACGCCGGCCAGAGATGCAGAGGCCCCGGGGAGGGCAGGAGCAGGCCGCATCGAGCCGGGAGATCGGCATCGCACGTTGCGCCGGAGCGGGCCGCAGCGGCAGGGAGTGGGAATCGCAGCGGATCCGGCCGCGCCACAGGATGCACAGCAGCACCGTGCGAGCATCGGGCCTCATCGGAGGGTCGGGACATCGGGACCGAATCGGATCTGGTCGGCCGAACTCGATGTAGAGTCGGATCGATCGGGCCAGAATGGACCCCAGAGTTAGGTCGGGCATGTCCCCCTACAGGCGGATTAGGGTCAAATGTGAAAAAATACTCAAGAAATGCCCCCAAATAGTCAAAAAATACCCCAGTGCGACCCTACCTAGAAGTTGGAGCCCCTAGGAAAGCAGCATTAGTTGCTATGCTATGCTATGCTATGCCATGCTATGCTGCGCTATGCTATGCTATGCTATGCTATGCTGCGCTATGCTATACTATGCTATGCTATGCTATGCTAAGCTATGCTATGTCATGCTCCGCTGTGCTATGCTAAGCTATGAAATGATATGCTATGCTATGCTACGCTGCGCTATGCTATGATGGCATGCTATGATATGCTATGTTATGCTATGGTACGCTATGCTATGCTATGATATGCTGCGCTATGCTATGATATAATTTGCTATGATGTGATATGCCATGATTGGCTATGTTATGCTATGCTATGCCATGCTAATGCTAATGCTAATGCAGCGCTGCGCTATGCTAAGGTAAGCTAAGCTCAGCTAAGAGAAGATGAAGCTAAGCTAAGCTACGATGAAGGTAAGCTAAGCTAAGCTGAAATAAGCTAAGCTAAGATGAGATAAGCAACGCTAAGCTAAGGGGACGTAACTGGGGGAACCGCGGGGCGGATCCTGTGGGAACCGCCCGGGGCGATTTACACTGCCCGGCCCTCTAAGCCAAGAGGATAAGAACCCTCCTAAGCAGAGCCTAGGCAGGGAATAAATCCAAAAATAGTCCCCTGGCTACGTTTTGACTATTTTGAATACTTCTCCTGTAGAGGGATAGGCCCGACGTAACCCCAGAGGGAGGAGGAAGGGAGCCTAGGGGCGCGGGGGAGGCGCCACCCTCTCCCCCCGTCGTGGGACGCACAAGGATAGTATACTGCACAGTTGCATGCGTGCGCCCACGTTGGAGTGAGCGGTTTAGAGCGTCTCGTCTTCCAACCGCCTTCGTCCCCTTCGGGGAAGGGTCAATCACTGCTCCCTATCTATACACACACCCTCCCCCCAGGCGACGGGCAGCCAGCCAGGAACAATGAGCACACCATGATCACCTCCCGAACCATCCTTGTCGCAAAACAATGCGAACACACACTCTGCCTCCAAATTCGGAGCATGCGCAACCAACCCGATGAGCCCCTCCATCCCTGTCAAAAAAACCATACAAAGTACACGTTGGAACAAAGTCTGGAGTTATGTTCGTGAGGCCCGCGAGCACTTTGAATTGTTTTTTTGACAGGGGCGGCGGTGTGTCAGCATTTTGCCTGCTGCGCGCAGGGCTACCATACCTGACAGAAAAATGCATGTCGCGGTTAAATCTGGAGCATGCGCGGCCACCCCGCGATCACTGTCAAGTGGTTTTTGACAGGGACGGCGGGGGTGGTAGCGTATGGCCTGCTGTGCGCAGGCCCACCAGACACAATGATGGACATTGGTTTTCGATAAGATGGTGGGGGCCGCAATGTGTCCCGATGTGTGCTGTCACGTGCGCAGGCGCACCTGACACAACCTGCACGTGCCCCGAACGTAGGGCACCTGGCACAGCTGGAGTATGCGGCACACCTGGCGCACGCGGAGGCACGTGGCGCATCGGGCGCACCAGGCGTGCCTGGCACGCTCGGGCCCCAGGGGTGCCTGGCGCGCCTGGCGCGCCTGGCCCGCGTGGCGCACCTCGCCCCAGCGTCGCGCACATGGGCTCGGCTTTGGTTCCCGGTAGCTGCCCATCCAAGGACGACCGCTGAACATGCTGAGGCTCGGGTGTTAACGATGTGTTGGGAGGGCGGGTGGGAGTGAGCTAGACGGCTTGCTATCTAGGAGGGTGTCCTGACCCCTCCTCCTACCACCCCCCCCTGGAGCTGGACGGGGGTTCGCGACCGAATGGAGCGTCCAAGAAGGCATCGGCAAGAAGGCAACATCATCTATTTGACTTAGGTGTTGGGCCCATGTTGGCCTTCTGGGGGGACCCTAATAAAGCCCCCCCTTCATTGATCGACCTCCTTAGGACACCCTGGAGGAAAGTTCTTGGCATGGGCCCCCACTGTAGCTCGGCAACCTCTGAGAGCCAGCCGGCCAGGACGGTGCGATGAATCCGGCGTGACCCCAGCCCCCTAGACTTGATGGGCCTGTTCTCAACCACCACCACCATAAGTTGGAGGGGGAGGGGGTCCTTTTCCTCCTCCTCCTCCTCCTCCTCCTCCTCCTCCTCCTCCTCCTCCTCGTCCTCCTCCTCCTCCTCCTCCTCCTCCTCCTCCTCCTCCTCCTCATCCTCCTCCTCCTTCCCCTCTCCAACTTGTGGTGGTGGTGGAAAACAGGCCTATCAAGACTGGGACGCACGGAGCGCGGTCACCTTCCCGCCTCCGGGTCGTCCATTCCTTCCCTCGGGGCCACTTCCAGACCTCCGGCGTCGTGAGTGTTTCACGACGTGCCGCCCCAGAAGTCTGGACCCCTTCCCGGGGACTGGCTTGTCGCCCTGAGTCAGTCGTTTCCGTTGACGGTCTGGGGGCCAGTGACCAGAGAGGGCCCCCAGTGGTCGAATATTGGCGAAAACTGCCCGCTTTTGCAGAACGCGAGGATGTCAGGAACACCCGGACCCCTCAAGGACGCCATGCTGGTCAGTCTTGAGAGGAGCGCCCAGCCGTGACCACGAACCCCCGCTCCCTGGGAGGTGCAGAGGATGCAAGCTCTCTGTAGCGTCAAGGCTCGGGGACCCCGCGGGAGGCCCATACGTAGCTTGCGCTTTGCCGGCGCCTGGGTGTGCTTGTAGACAATGTCGCCGATGTCCCGGACTGCCTTTCGGACCCTCTCGGTCTCCTGGCGCTCCTGAGATGGCGATAGCGTGCCCCATCTTGTCCTTCACACCTACTGCAACTCCGTATCTATCTCCTCCTGCTCGTCTTCCGCTCCATCACCATCATCATCATCATCATCATCATCATCATCATCATCATCATCATCATCATCATCATCATCATCATCATCATCATCATCATCATCATCATCATCATCATCATCATCATTCATATCCCCCTCCCCTTCCTCCTCCTCCTCCTGCTCCTCCTCCTCCTCCTCCCATCATCATCATCAGCATCATCATCATCATCATCATCATCATCATCATCATCATCATCATCATCATCATCATCATCATCATTATCATCATCATCAGCATCAGCGTCAGTATCATCCTCATCATCAGCAGCATCATCATCAGAAGCATCATCATCATGCTCAGCATCATCATCAGCATCATCAGTACCGTCAGCATCGTCGTCATCATCATCACCAGCATCATCGTCGTCAGCATCATCATCATCAGCATCATCGTCGTCATCCTCATCAGCAGCATCATCGTTCTCATCATCATTCCTTATCATCACCATCATCCCACTGATTCTCCCTGTGCTCATCCTCCTCCTCCACCTCCTTATCACCCTCCTTCTCCCTGTCGCACTGGAAGGCACCAAGAGAGACGACCTGCCGCAGAAGACACGTATGCTCAGCGACACATTCCAAAGGACCTTGCGATATCGTGCTTGGGCTGAAGGAGCTGGGCCACTACACGCGCATTGATGTCGGAGGATTCTTTCGCCATGTCGTCACTGGCTGGTGACCGTAGACAATGAGACATCAGCAAGCCAGAAACGCAGATTTGGAGTGCGAAGGACGCATGCTCGCCACGCGCAAAGCATGCGCGATTGTATTATCTCACGCGTACTTAACAAAAACAGCAATACCAACGACGCGCATGTCTGAGACAAGATCTTTGCCGCTCGCCTGGGAGAGCCATAGTTTTCCAACCCCTTCCTGGCTTCGAATGGCTTAGCATTTCGAGATTCCCGGTGGTTCTTTGTCTAGGTGTGAAGCGGCGGGGGGATTATCACACGGGTGCCAAGACAGGAGATGAGGACGAGTGCGTCCAGCAGTTGGCATGAGCAGGCGCAATCTTAAAGACGGCTCAAGGTGGCTTAAGCTGTAACGGAGACTCAGAAGGAAAGCAGGGCTCCAACCAAGGCAAATTACTTGATGTGGCATGTGGTGGTACAATTGGCACTGAAAGTGTCGCAGAAGATGGCCTGACTATATAAGAGGTGCATCACATCTGGGACTCGTTTGCACGGAACAAAAACTTGCTCGATGCGATCTCTCAATGAATTGTTTCGGGGTTCTCAAACAAACTGGCGGGCGACGAATACACATCGTGTGATACCAAAACACCTGGTAACACAGACGATAGACATCAGGAAGGGACAGATGAGCAGGTAGAGCAACAAGCAAAACCAGAGTATTGTCGAACTGACCGCGTAATTCACACCGACATGAGCGGCGGACGCAGGTGCTCGGCCCAGCGGCGACAGCGACCGAAACGAGCATAGCATCTGCGTAAACACAACGGCACGAACGTATTCATGAGGTATGTCTCACATTTGAAACCAACTGCAACCTTACTGTAAGGAGTTGCTGGAAGTGAGCAGGTGCATCAGAGTTCTCAGTGACTGCGGCGTCAACCAGGCGCCACAAAAACATCATGCGGCCCATATTTAACTAGTTGAAACCATGTGGTTAGATCGTACAGAGACGAAAGTTCGATTGAACACCAGACACACAACACTGCGAGAACAAAGGAAAATGTCACCATGATCAAGCGCACATCTGGCGCCTCGTTCTTCCAGCGTCTCTTCGTCTGGCTTCGCCAGACCACCGCACCGCTCCCTACCTCCCTGTCTTGGCGGAGCGCCGAGCGGGAAGTGCGAGGCAAGCGGGGGCAGGCCTTCTCGGAGAGGCGGCGGGGCTTCTCTGAGGCCCTCATGCCGCCTGAGAAGCCACCTGTGCCCTCAGAGACGGCGTCGAAAGCTTCTCAGAGTGCCGGATGCCTGCTGCGCCGTCTGAGAAGGCCGGCCCACTCCGCCTGCCCCCCGGGCGCGCTGGCCAATATCCTCAGAAGTCCCACGTTACGGCGGCGAGGACCCTCCTCCGTCCTCGGGGCCTCCTGGACGCGGTGTTCATACGGCCCCCAGGGCTCCCCTAGCACGACCCCTTCGCGACGTCCTGGGGCCTCGTGGATCCGTGTTCCCCGCGTGGGCGCAAGTCCCGTCGCTGCAGCTCCCGTTTCTGCTTGATTGGAGCCGCGTCGAATGCGTTTGATGTTAGATTTGGCCTCCTTCTACTCCTCCGCCCTCTCATTATCCTTCCTCATCTATCCTCCTTCTCATCCTCCTCCTCCTCCTCCTCCTCCTCCTCCTCCTCATCCTCCTCCTCCCACTCCTCCTTTTCCTCCTCCGCTTCCTCCTCCATTCCTTTTCCATATGAATAAATCCTCTCTGTCGCGCCCCGAGGCTGGTCGAAAGGGCGGGCTGGGCGTTTCGCCTGAGACGTCCTCTCTATGTATGATCCTGAAGCTTGAGATTTGCAACACGGACCGAGGGCGGGCGGTTTTCGCAATGTGGGTCTCGCCTTAGCGCCGCGCACAGTCGTCTTTACATGTTGCAGGAGCTTCGCGGATTCAGGGCTGGCCGTTTTCAAAACGTAGCTCTCGCCCTGGCGCCGCGCACATTCGTCTGAAACAATTGCAAAAGTTTGGCGGATTTAGGACAGCTCCTTTTGAAACTGATGCTCTCATACTAGCGCCGCGCACTGCCGTCTTCAACAATTGCAAGAGTTTCACGGGGTCCCATGGTTAACGTACCAGGAAATGCATTCTGGAACGATTCAGAATTGTCAGGACGCATCGGTTACGTTGAATCGCAGTGTTTAAGTCCCAGGAACGGTGTTCTGCCACGATTCAGGATCGGATCGTCAAGGCGACACAGTCAGGTTGATTCGCGGCGTGGAAGTTCCGGGAATGGTGTTTTGGCGCGTCTTCAAGATCTTCCAACGATTGTCTCCCAACGGGGCACTTCCCTCAGTGGACATGAACCATTGTAGGGGCCTATGAAGAGGAAGCTTGGAGGGCGTTTCGCTCACGAGTCTTGGGTTTACACCGGTCCTCCTCTTCGCTCTCCTCGTCAGCCTCATCTTCCTGCACGTCATCATCATCATCCTTCTCCTCCTCTTCCTCGTGATGATGGCGACCACCTTCCACCTGCACATTTGCCCTGTCCTTGCCCTCCTTCACTTCCTCTGACCCTCACCGCCACCCCTCCTTCACACCCACCGCGCATTCTACGTTGATTTCAGAACCCCACCTTCCCTTCCCCCCGACCTCCCCCCTCTTCCACAGCGCGGCGCAAACGTGTCAGAGCAACACGAATGCTGCCACATTCTTCCCCTTCGGGGATTGGTCTGCTCATCTCCCTGCCCCCTCCCTAGGACCTGGACGTGGCGCCCCGCGACCGATTGGAGCGTCCAAGACGGCCTCAGCAAGAAGGCGCACAAAATATTTTGACTTAGGTTGTGGGCACGTTTTGGCCTCCTGGGGCGGCTCTACTTGACTCGGACTCTCTCCCTCCCCGTCATGATCGATTTCCTCCAAGATAGCTCCAAGATGGCCCCCGAGGCTCCAAAGGGTGCCCAAAGACGGCCCCAAGAGGGCCCCAAGAGGCGCCCAGGATGCCCCAAGGTTCTCCAAGAGATTCCCAAGAGGCTCCCAAGAGAACTCTAAGCGGCCCCAACAGGCTCCCCCGAGGCACCCAAGACGCTCCACGAGGCTCCTGGGACCGCCGAGAAGCCCCCAAGACGCCCCAATAGGACCCAAAAACAACTCTCAAGAGGCAGCAGATGGCACTCCGAGGGGCATCTAAGAGCCTCTGACCTTTCTGCTCGCCCTCCTCCGCCTCCTCCTCCTTCTCCTCCTCCTCCTCCTCCTCCTCCTCGTCCTCATCCGCATGTTCCGCTTCCTCCCTCCTCCCCCCTCCTCCTCCCCCTCCCCCTCCTCCGCCTCATCGTCCTCCTCCCCCTCCCCCTCCTCCTCCTCCTCCCCTCCTCCTCCTCCTCCTCCTCCTCCTCCTCCTCCTCCTCCTACTCCTCCTCCTCCTCCTCCTCCTCCTCCTCCTCCTCATTCTCGTCATCATCATCATCATCATCATCATCATCATCATCATCATCATCATCATCATCATCATCATCATCATCAGCAGCATCATCATCCTCATCAGCATCATCCTCAGCAGCATCATCCTCAGCATCAGCATCATCATCAGCATCATCAGCATCATCATCATTATCATCATCAGCAGCATCATCAGCATCAGCGTCATAATCATCATCATCCGACTCCTCCCACATCTTCCCCTTGTGAGATACGGCGGCTTCCCCAGCGATTTATTCAACTGCATGCTCCTCCACATCCCTGATCAGGGCAGCTCGCCTGGGCATAGTTTCTGGCTGTGCCGGTGGGATTGCGCGGAGCGCCTAGAATAGTACGAACGCGTGTGTTCCAAAAAGTGCTTGCACTTAGGGGGTCGTACTCGCATTCTAACAAATTGGATGGGTGCGCCAGATTTTCGTCGCATTGCCGCCCGTGGGTGCCTCGTGGGGGCGTCCAGTGCTGAAAAAGTGTGCCGAAGTTTCGCCGCGGTGCCGTCCGTTGCCGCCCGTGGGCGCATCGTAGGCCCGTCGTATGCTGGATACGTGTGCCGAAGTTTCGTCACGTTGCCGCCTCTGGCGGTTCGTGGGCGCCCCGTGGGCGCATGCCATATCATGCTCGGAGCTTGCACCGCACAGGCACCGCGTAGCTTGCTTCGCATAGCCTGCATCACATAGCGTACACCCCATAGCGTCCATCGCATAGTTTGTATTACAAGCTTGCATCCATTACACCGCAGAGCTTGCACCACAAACTTGCACCACCGAGCTTGCCCTATATAACGTGTGCACAACCTAGCTCGCATCACCTCTACACATGTATAAACCTGTATTCGAACACCTCAGCCGAGGCGCACCCATCCCCTTCTCCGCGCGAGGCAAATGATTGTATGAACGCGACATACAAAAAGATCACGTTGCCAGATCTGCACGATCTGCGCTGCCCTCATCTCCGCCAGCCGTGCCTCCCAGGAGCCAGCGACAGTGGCGACAGTTGCGCAGTTCCCAGCGGCAGGTCTCGGCTGGGTGCGCGTGGAACTCCACTCCGCTAAACCTCCAAGGAGCCCACGAATTTGGCGACGGTTGCGCAGTTGGCAGCCCCCCCAGGGACTCGCGAGGTCTCGGCTGGGAATTCACGTGGACCCTACTCCGCTGGACCTCCTATGAGCCCACGATCATCATCACCATCGTCACCATCATCGTCATCGTCGTTATCGTCATCGTCATCGTCATCGTCAGCATCATCATCGCCACCACCAGCATCATCATCATCATCAGCATCAGCATCAGCATCATCAGCATCAACATCAGCATCAACATCAGCATCATCATCAGCAGCATCATCATCACCATCATCGTCATCAGCATCATCATCAGCAGCAGCATCATCAACATCACCATCATTATCACCATCACCCAGCATCATCAACATCAGCAGCATCAGCATCATCAAGTTCATCACGAGCATAACCAGCATTCACAGCATCACAGCATCATCATTATCAGCATCATCATCAGCAGCAGCATCATCAGTCTCATCAGCATTACCAACATCAACACCATCAGCATCAGCATCGCCATCACCACCAACATCACCACCATCATCACCACCACCATCATCAGCAGCAGCAAACTTATGATCCTCCTCCTCGCCATCATCATCATCATCATCATCATCGTCATCATCATCATCATCGTCATCATCATCATCATCATCATCATCATCATCATCATCAGCAGCAGCAGCAGCAACATCATCTCCATCACCACCACAATCACCATAACCATCACCACCACAATTATCATCAGCGGCATCATCATCGTAAAAACTGGCATTATCCACCTCGTCCTCATCCTCATCCTCATCCTCATCCTCGCCATCATCACGATCATCATGCCGACGACTTGGGCGACCTTGCAGGCCAAGCTCTTCTTCCGCCGTGGCGTACCCTGCTTCCTTCGGTCCGCAACCTCCCAGGAGCCAACGAAAGCGGCGACAGTTGCGCACGTCGCAGCCTCCAAGAGAGCTGCGAGGGCCCCAATGAATCCGCTGGACCTCCCAGGAACTCACGGAAGTGGTGACAATTGTCCAGGCCTCAGCCACACAGGTCTCAACGTTTGCTCTCCGTTGCGCACGTGCCTGTTCAGGCCACTGCGCTGTAGCCTCGCCCGTTTACGGGCCAACCCATGCGGTTTGACCGGGCCTCTGTCTGTCTGTCTCAGCCACCCAGGGAGCGGCGAGATCCCCAGTGGACCCGCGTGGCCCCCGATTCCGCTGGACCTGCCAAGAGCCCACGCAAGTGGCGACAGTTGCGCAGTTCGAGGCCTCCTGGGGATCCGCGAGGTCCCCAAGTGGTCCGCCTTCCCCCCCCACCTCCGCCGAGCCTCCCAGGAACCCACAACGGTGGCGACGGCTGCGCAATCCGCAGCCTCCCAGGGAGCCGCGAGATCCCCAACTGGGCCGCGTGGCCCCCGCCTCCGCCGAGCCTCCCAGGAGCAGCGACAATTGCGCTGTTCACAGCCTCCCAGGGAGCAGCGCAGGAGGACGCAGGAGGAGGCAGGAGGAGGCAAGAGGGAGGAGGAGAAGGATGAGGAGGAGGAGGAGGAGGAAGAGGAGGAGAAGGAGTGGATACCACAATGCTCTATCCAAAACTAAAACCCAACACAGGAGGGTTGAGAATAGCTGCTCGACTCCAGCCCCGAGGAGAGGGTTATCGTCCCCCGTCCGCGCAATGTGCTCTCGTATCGGTTCTGCACGATCGCTCACCCCAGCCAAGGCGGTATCGCCCTCTCCGTCATTTCCTGCAACGGCAAGCGCGTGCGTGTTTTTCAGCAGCCCGTACCAGTACCAAAGGTACACTAAGATCACTCAAACCTGCCCGCCTGTGTGGACTGCAAACAATGAGTCATTGCAATTTGGATGTGCGCGCTGTGGTGCAAGCTACCTGGAGGAAGCTATGGGAGAAGAGGAGAAGGAGACGGAGGAGCAACGGTGCAGCCAAAGAGGAACGGCAGCTACGCGTAAGCAGCTAGTCTCACGAGGGCGGCATGGTGGTCCCCATGGTGAGTGGTGTAGTGGTGGGGCGCAAAATGTTCGGACATCCAAACCGTTACGGAGGACAAGGGCGGCACTGCCTTTGAGTTCCAGGCACGCGGCCCAGCATGTGGCATGTCGGGAAGTTTCCCTGTCATTATAGCCACGGCGGAGGAGACCAGCGTATGAGACGAGTTCGTCTCCATCGAATGGGAGCGGCGTATGAGACGAGGTCGTCCTCATCTCATGGGGGGCCCTCGTCTAACGAGCTCGTCCGTTCGACCGAAGTGGGTGCAGGGGGTGGCGGCGGGGCATTGGTGGGCCCGCCTAATGCGAACATCTCGACGTCGCGGCACGTGTTGGACGGAGGCGGCAACGGAACCGCGAGGTGGGCGGGCGCGGGATAGCCACGGCAGAGGAAGGCGCGGGCGGGGAGGGGAGGCGGCTGCGGGCCGCTGCCGCGGTCCTCCTCCTTGCCGGAAGCCCTGCCCTCGTACGCGGCGTCGTCGCCCTTCTCCAGGCCCTTCCTGGGGCGGCGGGGCGCCGCGCAGCGGGCCCGCGCCGGGGGGTATGCGCCCGCAGCTGCCGCACGACCCTCGGGCACGTCAAGACGGGAAGTGGTCGTCTGCTCCTCCACCGCAGCCGCGGTCGGGAACTGCTGCTCAGCGCGTCGCTGAGGCGGCCCCGGCGACAAGCTATTCCTTGAGGGCGGGTGGCGTGTCGCTCCGCTCCGCCAGAACCGGCGGAGCGACACGCTGTCCAACAGTTCCCGACCGTACTTGGAGAGAGACAGAGTGAGGGGGGGGGAGCAGGGGGAGGACGCGACTCATCGATCAGCAACGTAACACGTGTCCCCGTCCGGTGCAAGGCTGGGGCTCCAATCATTGCGCACACTCTGCACCTACAGGCGAAAAAGTGTGCATGCCGAGATACATCACGTAACAGTTGGCGTTGAACTGCACCTTCCCGCATCCATTCCGCCAGCCCGTCGAGATGATCGCCGGCACACCGGCAGGAACCAAGGGGCTTGTCTGGCCACAGCGAGCCTCGACCACGCACAGGATTTCCCATCTAGGCCCGAAAACGGCTCAGCGTCTTGGCTGCAAGATCCAGGCGTCCTCGCGTCGAGAGCGAAACACGATGGACACGAACACTTAGCCAGATTTCGGTCTCCGGGGGCCCGTGCCTTGGGAACGTCCCAGAACGCTCGGGACGGAACGCTGGTCCCTGGGAGCAGGGGTCCAGGCCTCGTCGCAAAAAGTAAAAGCATGGGTCAGGGGTCCAGGGGTCCAGCAGGGGTCCCTGGAGCCACACTCCGAGGAAAGCAAGACGTCGGATGCACGGGTCCATCCTGATCCCCTGACTTCCCTCGCCCTGAGGGAGGTGGGACCGCGTTAAGCACAGAGCTCCTGTCCTCCCTCAACTCCGCCGCTGCAATCCACCGCTCGGCGGAGTGCTGCAATCCGCCTCGTGGAGGGTAGTCCGAGGCGTGAAACCGCCATGGACTACTCTGAAGGCCTGGTGAGGCCAGCCAGGGCTACCTCGGGGGGCCGTCTGTAGGCAAACCCAAGACGTGCCAAGCCGTACTCAGGGACGTGCTGCTTCGCTATCGGGGGCCGATCGGCAACGTATCGCCGACTTCGGGTCGGTGCTCAACCCCTCTTGCGACCCCCAATTTCGTCCATTCCGCAACGAAGAAACCCAAACTAAAAGGTACAGTCAGATTCGGGGGGCAAGATGACATCCTGCAAGCAACCAGTCCCTCGACCAGCGGATTTCACTGGGGCGGGTCTGGCAGACTCTCCCCTCGTCGAGGGTCTGTTCGCAGAGACCTCGCCAGGACTCGAAACTGCATTTCCCAACCCCCACGCGCAACGCCGATACAGCGTGGGCATTGGATAAAGAACCCTTGGATAAGGTCCAGGGTCTGAAAGCCGGTGGAACGTCAGTAGTGGCTTGGCCATGAAAATCAACGACGCCTCTATCCGATAAGGAATCCTGCAGGGTCTGAAGCATCCCATACAATTCCATCCCATCCTGCAGGGTCTGAAGCTCCTTCCTCCTCCTCATCCTCATCCTTCCTCCATCCCATCCCGTCCCATCCCATCTCGTCCCATCCCACTCCATCCAAGCATCCTCCTCCTCTTCCTCATCCTCCTCCTCTTTATCCTCCTTCCTCCTCATCCTCCTGCTCCTCCTCCTCCTCCTCCTCATCCCCCTCCTCCTTCTCCTGTCCCACGTGCAAGAGCCTGGGCAGGCGCGCCACTTGTCCTGGGCTCTAGCATGCTCTGTGTATAGTCTCGCTCGCACACGGCGTCGCAGAACTCGTTGTAGCTGACCTGGCCGTCCTGGCGCGTGTCGAAGTGCCTTCCACCAGCCACGGCGCGTGCCGCCCAGGCATCGCGGCCAGGAGACAGAGCAACGGGCAGCACGGGAAAACTGAACTTCTCTTCCTGCTGACTCTCCCCCTTCTCCTCCTCATCTTCCTCCGCCTCCCTCCCTCTACCCCTCCTTATTCCCCACCAGCTCATTATCGTTTGTTCATCCTTCTCTCCACTCCTCCTCCTCCAACCTCCACGAGATCCTTCTCAGCCGCCTCCGCCTCCGACGCTTGACGTTCCACCTCCTCGTTCTCCACCTCCTCCTCGTTCTCGTCCACCTCCCTCGTGCACGAAAACAAACATGCCAATTAGCATATGTGTATCACACATGCCTGCATGCATCACCATGTTGCGTCTATATATGCACGTGCGTGCGCGTGTGTGTGTGTGTGTGTGCAAACATACGTGTTTGTACACACATGCGTTCGAATGCGTATATTCCTACACGACCACCCTTCGGGAGATGGGGAGGTTGTGGGGGGAGGAACCAACTCATGACACCTGCAGTGATTGTGATGGTGACGATGCATGCGCTCGCGACCTGGTGACGACGAATCATGGCGAGACTGGTTACGATGATTGATGGACGCCAAGTGGACACTATCGGGACACCATCGGGACACAATCGAGACACCATTGGGGCACCATTAGAACATCATCGGGGCACCATCAGGACAGCATCCAAACGTCATCGGGACACCATCGGGGCACCATGTGGACACCATCGGGACACCATCCGAACAACATCGGGACACCACGTGGGCGCCATCGGGGCACCGTGTGGACACCCATCGGGACACCATCGGGACACTATGTGGACACCATTGGGCACAATCGGGCAACATGTAGAAACCATCGGACACCATGTAGACACCATTGAAGACACTGCGGAGCAAATAAATAGTACGATCGGGACATCATGTGGACACGATCTGGACACAATGTGGGCACCATCGGGACAACATGTGGACACCATCGGGACAACATTTGGACACCGTGTGACACCACGTGGACACCATTAGAGTACCATTAGGACACCAGCGGGACGCTATCAGAACACCATCAGGGCACCATTAGAACATCATCGGGGCACCATCGGAACACCATCGAAACACCATCGGGACACCATCGGGGCACCATGTGGACACCATCGGGACACCATGTGGACACCATGTGGTCACCATCGGGAAACCATCGGGACGCCATCGGAACACCATCGGGACACCGTCGGAACACCATCGGAACACAATCGGGACACCGTCGAGACACCATCGGGACACCATCTGGACACCGTCGGGACACCATCAAAAAACGACGGGATGGGGCAGATCTGGGACCTGGTTGACCTCGGACCCGGCTGAACTCGGACCCGGCTGATCTCGGCCCCCCTGAACTCGGACCCGGCTGAACTCGGACCTGGCGGATCTCGGACCTGGCTGAACTCGGACCCGGCTATACTCGGACTCGGCCGAATTTGGACCTGGGCGTTCCCGCTAAGGCGCGAACCTCCGGTCACAGCTCTGCTGGGAGTTTAGATTGGGCCGAGATCAGCTGGGTATCTGTTCAGCTGGGTCCGAGTTCAGCGGGGCTTGCCTTCGTTGGGGTCTGATTTTACCTAGGACCGAAGTCTTTCATCGGATGACCTCGCATCCGGCTAATTCCAGAATCCCCTGAAGTGTACCTGGCTGACCTTGGACTCGGCCCCTCTCCCTAGATCAGCTGGGCGTTCAGCTGGGTCCGAGATCAGCAGGGCCCGAGTTCAGCTGGGTCCGAGTTCAGCTGGGTCCGAGTTCAGCTGGGACCGAGCTCAGCTTCGGGCTGAACTCGGACCCTGTTGAACCCGTACCTGGCTTACCTCGGACTCCGCTGCTCTCGGGCCCGCTTGCCTCGCGTGTGTGCCACTGCTTCAGCGGAGCTGTGAGCTTCTCCAGAGCTGGGGTTTGCTAGAACCCAAGCGTGCGCTTCGGCCTTCGGCACACCTTGGGGCATTCTTGGGAGCCGTCGGCGTCCTCATGCGCCATATGAGGCGAACTGGGAGTATATTTCGGCACTATGTCGGCTGTATGCGGGCGTTCTGGGGGACACATGTGCGCTGGCCCGTCATCCAACTCTGGACTGTTCAACGGCTTCTTCTTCTTCTTGAGTATTGACGTACATGTTGCCTGGGGCGCTCATTAGACTGGCGACGGCCATGTCGATGGTGATGGTGACAGCGACGGCTGAGGACGATGGCGACTGGGTCCTGGGGCTCATCTTCGCCGTCTGTGAGATTTAACTGGCGATCGGTGTTTAAGGTCTTTGGGTGTTACGGTCTCAGGGGTGAAGGGTATTAGGGTATTATGGTCTGCAGGCATTCGCATAGATTAAGGTCTTAGAGTGTTAGAGCGTTGGGGTATTTGGCTGTCGGCAGAAAGGGTATTCATGCATTAGAGTTCGAGGGTCTTAGTAAGTTATGGTGTTGGTGTATTGCTGGATTCGGGTAATACGGTATTAAGGCAGCAAAGCTTCAGCGCGCTTGAGTGAAAGGATCTTAGGACAGTGGGGGGGCATCGGGCATCAGGATATGAGGGTGTTGGGGCTGTTGCGTCTTAATGTGTTAGGGTCTTACGGTGTTTGGATATAAGGTCATTCGGCTCTTAGGATATCATGGTCTCCAGGTCTTAGAGTATCGGGGTGCTAAGGTATAAGTGGTTTAGCATGTTGGTGTTCAGTGGTGTTGCGTTTTAGGGTCTCAATGTTTGTAGGGTATCAGGGTATTCGGGCCGTAGGGCTTGAGGGCCTCAAGGCATGAAGGCCTTAGGGCATTGGGGTGTTAGGGAATTCGAGATTTTGGAACTTCGGGTCGTACGGTCTTAGGGTATTAAGGTATCAAGGCCGTCGGGTATTAGGGTTTCAGGGCCTTCATGTGTCAGGGTGTGGTAGGGTATTTCGGCAGAACGGCGTTGGGGCATCAGGGTATTAGGATATCGTGGTCTTCGGGCTTTCGGGCATTCGGTTATCAGGGTCGTAGGGTATTGCGGCATTAGCGTTTTAAGGTGTTGCCGCATTAGGGTTTAAGGCCCTAAGGTGTTGGAAGTTTAGGGCATTAGTGTATCAAGGCTTTACGGTGTTGGGGCTTCCGTGGCTTAGAGTAGTTGTGCCTGAACGCATGAGGGTCTTAGGGTAGTAAAGGCTCAAGGTATCAGGGTGCGGTGGTAGTAGGGTCGTCCGGCATTAAGGCATCAGGTTCTCAAGGCATAAATGCCTGAAGGCATCTGGGTGTTAGGGCATCAGGGTTTAGGGTATTCGGGTCTGAGGGTTCTAGGGTTTTGGGGTGTTGGGGAGTTCGAGTCTTAGCGTGTTCGGGCTTCAGTGCATGAAGGCCTTACGGTATCAGTGTGTTAGGGCATTATGGTCTAGGGCTTGAGGGTCTTCAGGCATTAGGGTATGAGGGCCTTCCAGCATGAGGGTCTTAGGGTCGTAGGATCGTAGGAAGTTGCGGGATTCGAAAATTCTGGTTTTACGTGTGAGGTTGAAAGGTCTTAGGACTTAGGGTATGAGGGCATCAGGGTCCTACGTTCTTTTGGTATTGAAGCCTTAGGGTATGAAATTCGGTTGCTGGCGTGTTCGGGTACCAGGTTCTTAGAGTTTTGGGATGCCAGGGTATAAGGGCATTCGGAGTTTAGGGCATAATGGTATAGGCCCGAAATGGATTAGGGCACTGCGGCATCATGGTTATAGGTGTTTCAGGGTCTCAGAGTATTCGGGTCATCGTGTATGAAGGCCTTGGGATATTAGGGCTTAGGGTGTGAGAGTATTAGGGCAGTAGTGCGTTTGCGCATTAGGAGTTCAAGTGGTATGAACGTAGGGTCTCAGGGCTTTAGGGTTTGGGGACGGTGGGCATCAGGGCCATCAGGGATTAGGGTGCTAGGGTACAGGAGCATTTGGGTGTTAGGGCCTTAGGGTAATCTGCTTAGGGTCTTCGTGCACCAGGGTCTTAGGGCTCCAGGGTATGAGGGCATTAGGGTCCTAAGGTCTTATAGCATTGAAGTCTTAAGGTAAGGCGTTCGGTTTCTAGGGGATTAGGGTTGTAGGCACTGGTAGGGTTGTAGGGCACTCGGGTCGTAAGGCATTTGAGACGTAGGATAGTGGGGGGTCAGGGTATTACACGGAAGGGTTTTCGGGTATTGCGGCATTAAGGCACTCGTGTTGTAGGCAAATGCGGTAGTAGCTTTCTAGGGTTGTAGGGTCCTACGGTGTGAAGGCCTTCGGGTAATGGGGCGTTAGGGCGTTAGGGTAATACGGCTGCAAGGTCTTAGGGCGTTTGGGTATGAGGCAATTCTGGAAGTAGGGCCTTCTGGCATTAGGGTCTAAGGGTAGTGGGGCGCTAGAGGACTATGACATTCGGGATTTAGGCTACTAGGGTGTTATGGCATTAGGGCGTTAAGGTTCGAGGGGCGTGTGGTATCAGGGTCTGGCAGCATTAGTGTCGTACGTCATTCTCGTCACGGGAACGAGGACCATCGGGTGTTGGGGTAGTAGGGTAGGGTAGTACGGCGTTAGGTTTTTAGGTTATTAAGGCAGTAGTGGTATAATGGTCATAGAGTATCGGACCATAGGGTATCAAGTTGTTGGGGCATTACGGCGTTATGGAATTTGGGTATCGAGATTTATCGGTCGCGGGTCTTAGGAATGTAGGGCATTATGCCTTCCGAGCCTCAGGGTATTTGAGCATTTGGGCATTCGGCTGTTAGAGCATTGCGGTATTAGAGCATGATGGTCTTAGGGATTTAGGGTTCGAGTATCAGGGTGCTGCTTGGGGATTAGGATGTTCGAGCCTTACGGTCTTAGGCTCTAAAGCTTTAGGTCCTTCGGGGGTTAGGGTCTTCGGGCACCAGGGCGCTGGGACATTAGGATATTAGGGTTCTAGGTTATTATGTGTGTAGGGTCTTCGCGCATTCGGGTCTTAGGGCTTCCAAAGATCGGGGCACTCGGTTCCGAGGGTCTTATGCCATTAAGCCTTGAAGTATTAGAGAGCCCGGGTATTAGAGTCCCAAGGTATTAGGGTGTCAGGGCATCGGGGTTTTAAGGTACAAAGGGCATTCGCGTATAAGGGTTTTCGGTGATTAAGGAAGTAGGCTTCTGGGTGCCGGTCTGGGGTGTTAGTACATTCGGGTATTAGGGCTTGTGTCAGGGGATGAGGGCACTAGGATGTTAGGGCATACGGGCATTCGGGTCATTGGGCTTGGGGGTATTCGGCTATTGGGCTTTGAGGTTGTGAGGCCTTAGGGCATGTTGATCTTAGGGCATTGGAGTGTTAGGGCATTAGGTTATCAAAATTATTTGAGTCGTCGGGCATTCGGGTATTAGGCTCTTCCTGTATCAGGGTCATCTGGCATTCGGATGTTAGGGTCTTACGGTCTTAGGGTTAGGGTGTTGGGGTATCGAGGGTCTTAGAGTATTAAGGCTTTGTGGCATTAGGATATCAGGGTGTTACGCACCAGGACTTAGGGTATTAAGGCACTAGGGCTGAGGAGATTGAGGGTCTTATGGCATTGAAGACTTAGGGCTTCACGGTCTCACGGTATAGGAAACTTTGGGCTTTAGGGTATCGTGGTCTTAGCGTATTACTGCCGTAGGGCATTCGGGTCTTAGGGCATCAGGGTGTTCGGGCTTAGGGGTCTTCATGTACTAGGACTGTAAAGATTTAGGGGTGTTTGTGTACTTGGGTCGTATGGTACTCGGGTCTGAGGGCATTAAGGGCCTAGGGCATTAGTGGGTTAGGGTATTAGGGCATCAGAGCTTTAGGGTCTTGGGACCGTCGGGCTTTAGGACCCTAGGGCATTAGCGTGTTAGGGCATTCGGGTGGTAAGTGATTTGGGCATTCGGGCTTCATGTATTAGTGGATGATGGCCTTAGGACTCAGGGTTTAGGCAATTTGGGTCTTAGGGTAGTCGCGTCTTAGTGCATGAAGGTATGAAGACATTTGAGCGCCACGGTATAAGTGCTTTAGGGTCCTAGGGTATTTGGGTACTAGGGTATTCGGGCATTCGGGTCTTAGGGCATGGGGTGATAGGCTATTTCGGCATTGGATTTTTAGGAACTCCCGGTATTATGGTCTCAGGGTTCTGTATTTGGGCTTCCAGGTGATAAGGCTTCAAGGATTAAGGATTTCGCACATGCGCACCCAGCTGACCTGCAAGCCGGCGGAATTCGAGCACGGCAGAATTCGCGCCCGGCCGAATGCGCACCCTGCCGAACTCGCACCCGGCAGCTCTGGCACTCTCCCCCGGTCCGGTCTCCTCCACAGGCAAGAAAACTCGCACCTGGCCGAACTCGCACCCGGCCGAACTCGCAACTGGCCGAACTCGCACCCGGCGGCTCTGGCACTCTCTCTCGGCCTGGCCTCCTCCAGAAGCAGGAAAACGCGCGCCCGGCCGAACTCGCGCCCTGCCGAACTCGCACCCAGCCGAACTCGCACTGGCTGGCGAACGCGCATGCCGCAACCAATAGGACGCCGGTGTGTACATGAAGATGCGTAGGGGGCTATGCCCGACAGATGCTCGCCAGTGGGGCCAACGCAGCGACCTGGCTTGGCTCTCCCATCATATCACTTTTGACCGACGGTCACATGGCCTCCTCCACTTCCTCTTCCAGTTTCCTGCTCCCAATCCTACGCCGTCTAGTCTGCAGTCCAAATTCTTATCCCTTCTGTGCAGTCCTCCCGCTTGGTCATTGCCAGTCCTCCTCTGCGTCTTCATCCTTCGCAATTCCTCCGCACCTAACTCCGTTTCCCCCTCTCTCTTGTACCCTTGCCGCTGCTGCTGCTGCTCTTCCTCCTCCCCCTCCTCTTCTTCGCTCAGACTGCTCCGAGCCCTGCGCTCCAATATGCGATTTTCCAGGTGCTCAGGCTCGACTCGCTTCAGACTTCCTCGGACGTCCGGACTTCCAGCCGCCATGACTTGAAGAGCTCTGTCCGTTCGGCGGTCGCCGGCGACGGGGAGGTCCAGCGGGCGCGTGGTCGCGCGACCTCGGGCGCGGGCGGGTCCCAGTTCAGCGGACGGCTGACCTCCGATCCGGCTGAACTCGGACCCGGCTGAATTCGGACCCAACCGATCTCGGAATCGATGAACTCGGACCCGGCCGGTCTCGGACCCCGCTGATCTCAGACCGCGGACCACGCTGAACTCGGACCTGGCTGATCCCAGACACACTCTGATCTCGGACCCGGCTGAACTCGGACCCCCGCGTTCCCGCTGCAGTGCGGGCCTCGCTCTGAGTTTACCTGGGTCTGAGCCCAGCTGGGTCCGAGTTCAGCTGGGTCCGAGTTAAGCTGGGTCCGAGTTCAGCTGGGTCCGAGTTCAGCTGGGTCCGAGTTCACCTGGTGCACACGTGGACAACATTGGGACACCATGTGGACACCTATTGAAACACAATCGGGACACCATCGGGACACCATGTGGACATGATGAGGACACCATGTGGACACCCATCGGCACACCATCGGCACACCATGTGGATACCATTTGGTAACTATGTGGACACCGTCGAGACGGCATCGAGACACCATGTGGACACCATCGGGGCACCATGTGGACATTATTGGGACACCATCGGCACACCATCGGGACACCATCAGGACACCATCGGGACACCATCGGAACACCATCGGGACACCATGTGGACACCATGTGGACACCGTCGGGACACCAGCGGGACACCACCAAGACACCATCGGGACACCATCGGCACACCATCGGGACACCATCAGGACACCATCGGGACACCATCGGGACACCATCGGGACACCATGTGGACACCATGTGGACACCGTCGGGACACCAGCGGGACACCACCAAGACACCATCGGGACACCATCGGAGCACCACGGGACACCACGGGTCACAACGGGACACAACGGGACATCATCGGGACACCACGGCGGGACACCCCGAGCACCCGCCCGCCAAACGGGCTGGGGGGACGGACTTCTGTCCTGGCGGCACCCTCGCAATGGATGGTTCTTTCCTCTCGCCCGCCCACGCAGCTTCGCCTTGCCCGCACGCTCGACACGAAAACGAAACCGAAATCGATTTCCCGATGGGAGGCTCTCTGTCCCACTGCGATATCACATCTAAACCTCCGATACATGTGTGTATGTATGTGTGGTTGCGTGAGTTCACACTAGATGTATGCATGTGCATGTAAAGACGGCTTAGGTGTGCACAGCATGCATGTGCAGAAATGAAGACAAAGAAAGAGAGAGAGGATAGAAAGAGAGGGTTATTAACAAACACCTGAATGCTGGATTAGGGGGGAGCAGAGGAGGGGGAGGCAGTAGCGAAGACGTCCCCCCCCCCCAGGCGCCTCATTATGGCGAGCAGATCCTGCTTCGACAGGTGGATGTTCAGCGCCTTGAACGCCTCGAGCGCCCGCCGCTGTGCGGGAGGGCTGGGCCGCCCACGGGCTGCGTTGCTGCTGCTGGTGATGCCGCGGACCCTGCGACTGCCGATGCTGCTGCTTTTCCTCCTGCACCTCCGCCTCCTCCTCCTCCTCCTCCTCCTCCGTCCTCCTCCTTCCTCTTCCTCTCTCCCGCCTCCTCCTTCTCTTCCTCCGCCTCCGCCTGCCTCTCATCTCCTCCTCCTCCTCCTCCTCCTCCCTCCTCCTCCTCCTCCTCCTCCTCCTCCTCCTCCTCCTCCTCCTCCTCCTCATCCTCCTCCGCCTCGTCCTCCTCCTCCTCGTCCTCCTCCTCCTCCTCCGATCTCCCTCTCCTTGTCCGATTCCCCCCATGACACCTCCTCCTCCCCTTCCTCATCTTCCTCCACCTGCTCCTCCTCCCTCTCCTCCTCCTTCGCCCCCCCTTCTCCGCCTTCTCCCCCCCTCCTCCGACCCCCTCCTCCCGCGTCGGCACAGCCCGGCGGACCAGCTTCACCAGCCGCTGGATGGGGAAGGGCGGGCGGCGGCGGGCTCAGCTGGCTATTCTTCCGCGCTCCCGCCTCCGCCGGTTTGGAAGTGCCGCTCGCCCAGTCGAGGGCACGTAGCGCGCGCCCTCCTACAGCAGATACTGAGACGAGGCCAGGACGAGGATAACATCGGGTGAGGGTGAATCCGGCGGCTCTGGAGGATGTTTCGGGCGCCACGGCCTTCTCAGATCATTTCGGAACGCTCTGAAAGCCGTTTGGAACGCTCGCAAATACTAACTCTTCCAGAAAGAACGCTAAATACGGAACGAAGCCTCTCTTGGGTCTACGAAGCGCCTAGGTGCACGAGGAGAACTAGAGGAACAACCACGGATGGACACAAGGAACAGCGAGCCCCTTCCGAAGACAAGGCGGTCCTTCATTCAGTGCGTTGGCCGTACGTGTTAAGAGATCTTGCATTTCATAACCGACAGCGCGCGTCGAGTTCGGAGGTTGCGGGTCCTAAGAGGTCGTCCTCCTTTGAGAACGTAGCGATTCCCCCGATGGTGCCCCCCCTTTGGATTGCCTGGTCCGTCTCCTCTGTAGGTCCGCGAAGGCTTCCGGATGAAGCCTCCAGATACAGCCTAAAATCGCCTCTCCTCCTCCGCCTTCTCAGCCTCCTGCCTCTTCCGCATCCTGCATGTCTCCTACTCCTCCTCCTCCTTCTCCAGCCCCCCCGACCGTGTTCACCCTCCTCCTGCTGGCGCTCTACCTCCTCATCTTCCCCCACCTGCTCATCCATCCTTCTTCTCCACTGACCTTGATTATCCGACTGATCCTCATCCAACTTCACCTGCTGCCCCTGACTCTCCTCCTCCTCCTCCTCATCCTCCTCCTCCTCTTCCTCTTGCGCTCTTGCGTACCTCCGCGGTCTTCCCGTACACACACACACACACACACACACACACACACACACACACAAAACGCCCGCCTGCCAACAAACCATTAGAGGCTAAAAAACGCCCCAGTGGAACTGGTGCCTCGACTGCCGCCCTGCGGTTTGAGGGGCCTGGCTCTTCCAATCCGTGTCGGGACGGTTTGGACATGTCTTGGCGAGCTCCTTGACCTTAAGGCGCGCATAGTACGCTCCATAGCGTGCAAACCAGCTCAGGCCCCCATTCTGCCAGAGGCGGTGGGCGGGAGGAGGAGGAGAAGGAGGAGGAGGAGGGGGTGCGCGTCGGCCACGACCCGAGGGACCCCGGGACGCGGCAGCTGCACCAGCCGAGAGCGCAGCACACGCCCAATACCACACACGCGACATCCCCACCCACCCCCTGGGAGCCTGGAAAACGATGTGACCTCCGTCGTCTGTTGGCGGCGCGCACAAGGGGATGGAGGGAGGGGGTAGGGCTTCTTAGAAGGAGGCTGCTTCTTAGAAGGCGCCGGTCTCACATCTATAGGTAAGGCCCGCTCCTTCTAAGAAGCAGGGGTGCTTCTAAGAAGCCCTCCCTCCTCCCCCCCCCCTCTGCGCGTGGCCGAGTCTGAGACGATCCCCAAAATCGGGGGGCCAAAAATTCCAAGACTCACGTTTCGCACGCTCAGAAGACGCTGCAGCATCAGGAGAATCCAGCTGATGGACATGCTCCAACAACGCCGCCGTGTATCTTGCAGTGAAGGTTACCTGCTCATGATGATGGCACGGCCGGGCCCGAAGATGAGAATTCATGGAAGATATTCGTGCGCCCGTCTTCGCCCAAGAGAAAGCTTCCTGGTTGCCTCTGAACCAGGCTGGGTCATAGCCCCTTCTCTCGGACGCTGACCTCGACATGTGCGACGGCATCCACTGTACTGCGATAGAGCACCAATATCATCAACGCGAGCCCAAGAGATCAACCATAGCTTCAGTTTGTGTTTGTTTGGTGATGTTGTTTCCCCCGTCCCCGCCTTCCACCCATCATATGCCGTCTTAATATCTGTGACGACTATGATTTGGGCTCCCATGAGGAGCAAGGCCATGGGGAAAGTGCACAACTCCGAGCTGGGAACGTCCTGCAGTGACAGCGGGGAGGAACCGTAAGCATGCCATTGGTGATCGAAACGATAGACCACCCAGCTCGCACTAGCCACTTACGTTCTGCATCATTGGCCGAGCGGTCGATGCAGACCAATGATCCCAAAACACCTCCTCGTGGTCGCACGGCCCATCGGTAGTTAGCATCTGGAGGATGTTTGGGAACTGAGTCTTGCTGGAATCTACAAGGCCTCTAGTTCACTTCAGGTCCTCCTGGGAACTCCTAGTTTCTTGAACAAGCCCATTCTGATCATGATCTCTACGCAGCATACTGGACCCATCACACTTCAGGATTCGATGGAACTGGGTCCCCTCATCCTGCTGGTATCATTGGCACCTGTTCTCCGCAAACTCTTGTAGAACACATCAGATTGAGTCCAGACCCCCACGTGAAACTTGTGCCAGAACCAGACTCACCCCAAGATGATCCTCAAGGCCTCTTAGTCAAGCAAGTTCAGCACGAAGGGGCTCCACACAGGGCTCCCATGACGCAGTGTACTTGACACCAGCACGTAACCTCAGCAACCGCTTGGTCGCTCCATCCACTAGGTTTGGACAGTCCTGGGTCCTATGTCTTTGACTCTAGCCACAATCCCGTCAGCCGTGACCCAGACATCCCAGGACAGGATATCCCACTCGAGTCTCTTGAGCGTGTTGACCACCGTTCCTGCAGGGCCTAGGACCGACCTCCACCGTTAAGAGTTAAGACTTAAGGCGAACAACATGATCAGAAACATGCTTCATCTGGGCCTCGCTGGCCCAGCCGTCTCCTCCTCCTCCTCCTCCTCCTTCTCCTCCTCCTCCTCCCCCGCCTCCTCATCATCCATTCCTTTTCCTTATACAGAACTCCCCCCTGTCGCACCCCGAGGCCGGTCGAAAGGGTGAGCCGGACGTTTCGCCTGAGACCTCCTCACTATCAATGACCCCGAAGCTGAGCAATTGGCAACCGCTTCACGAATTCAGGGCGGCGCGTTTTCTTAATGTGGTGATCGCCTTCGCACCACGCACATTCGTTCCAAAACTTTGCAAGAGCTTCACGGGTTGAGGGCCGGTCGTTTTCAAAATGTGGCTCTCGCCTTAGCACCGCGCACATTCGATTTCAAAGCTAGCAAGAGCTTCACGGATTAAGGGCGGGTCGTTTTGCAAAATGTGGGTCTCGCCTTAGCGCCGCGCACATTCGTTTCTCAACTTTTACAAGGTTTCACGGATTGAAGGCGGGTCGTTTTCAAAATGTGGCTCTCGCCTCAGCGCCGCGCACATTCGTTTCTAAAAATTGCAAGAGCTTCACGGATTGAGGACGGTTCCTTTTCAACATGTGGCACTCGCCATAGCGCCGCGCACAACCGCTTGAAACAGTTTCCCTCGTTTCACAGATTCCGGTGCTCAACGTATCAGAACTGGTGTTTCGGAAGGACTCAGGATTGTGAGGGCGCAACGGGTACGTTTATTCGCGGTGTTGAAATGCAAGCCATGGTGTTCTGCCACGATTCAGGACCGTCAAGACAGACGCAACTGTCAGGTTGATCCGTGGCGTTGAAATCCCGAAAATGGTGCTTTCGCACGCTTCAGGGTCTTCAAACGGTTGTCTCCCAACGAGGCACTAGTTCCCTCAGCAAAAATGAACCATTGTAGAGGCATATGAAGAGGGAACTTGGAAGCAGTTTCCCAACATTGTTGATAATTATTGGGTATGCGCTGGTCCTCCTCTCCTCCTCCTCCTCCTCCTCCTCCTCCTCCTCCTCCTCCTCCTTTTCCTCCTCCTGCTCCATCTCCTCTTCCTCCTCCTCTCCTCCTCCTCTTCCTCCTACTCCTCCTCCACCTCCGCCTCCGCCTTCGCCTCCGCCTCCTCCTCCTCCTCCTCTTCCTCCTCCTCCTCTTCCTGCTCCACCTCCTCTTCCTCCTCCTCAAATCCTTTTCCTGATACAAGACTTCTCCCTGTCGTACCCCAAGGCCAGTTTTTAGGGCGGGCCGGGCGTTTCGCCTGAGACTTCGTCACGATTTATAACCCTGAAGCTTAAAACATGGCAACAGTTTCAGCTTCATAGTTGGAGGGCTGGCCCCTTGTTCAACATGTGACTCTCGCCAAAGCGCCGCGCACACTCGCTTTGAAAATTTGCAAGACTTCCACAGCTTGTGGGCGCTTCCTTTTCAACAGATGGCTCTCGCCTCAGCGCCGCCCACATTCGGTTCCAGAGTTTGCAAGAGCTTCACGGATTGAGAGCGGATGGTTTTAGAAAGGTGGCTTTCGCTTTAGCGACGCGCACATTCCTTTTAAACATTTGCAAGCGTTTCACGGATTGAGGGCGGTCGGTCTTCAAAATGTAGCTCTCGCCCTAGCGCCGCGCACATGAGTTCCAATGATCAACGTACGAGAAACTGTCTGATGGAAGGATTCAGGATCATGAAGGTGCAACAATTACGTTGGTTCGCCGTGTCGGAATCCCAGGAAATGCGTTGTGGCAAGATTCAGGATCGTCAAGACGCGACAGTCAGGTTCATCCGAGGCGTTGAAATCCCAAAAACAATGTTTTAATATGCTTCAGGGTCTCCAAACGGCTGACCTCTAACGAGGCAGCTCCCTCAGTGGAGATGAACTGTTGTAGGGGCCTACAGAGAGGGAGCTTGGGAGGAAGGTGCATTCCAACATCGGTGATGACTCTTGGGTCTACACTGGCCCTCCTCCTTCTCCTCGTCCTCCGCCTCCGCCTCCGCACCCGCCTCTGCCTCCGCCTCCTTCTCCTCCTCCTCCTCATCATTATCCTCCTCTTCCTGCTCCTCCTCCTCCTCCTTCTCCTCCTCCTCCTCCTACTCCTGCGCGTCCGCCTCCGGCTCCTCCTCCTCCTCCTCCATCTCCTCCTTCTCCTCCCCCTCCTCCTCCGCCTCCTCCTCCCCCTCTTCCTTTCCCTCCTCCTCCTCCTCCTCCTCCTCCTCCTCCTCCCTCTGCTCCGCCTCCTCCTCCTCCTCATCTTCCTCCATCTCCTCCTCCTCCTCCTTCTCCTCCTCCGTCGTTCCTTTCCTTACACATACTGTCGCACCCCGAGGCCAAAATTTAGGGCGAGCCAGGCGTTTCGCCAGAGACTTCGTCACCATTCATAGCACTGAAGTTAAAGATTGACAGCAGCTTCACAGATGGAGGGCGGCCCGTTTTCAACATGTGGTTCTCGCCTTAGCGCCGCGCACTTTCGTTTCAAATGTTTGCAAGAGTTTCGGGATTAATATTGAGGGCGGTTCCTTTTCAAAATGTGGCTCTCGCCTGAGCGTCGCGCGCATTCGTTTTAATCATGTGGAAGAGCTTCACGGATTGAGGGTGAATCCTTTTCAAAATGTCGCTCTCGCCTGAGCGCCGCACCCATTCGCTTTAGCAAGTTGTAAGAATGTCACGGAATGTGGACGGTTCCTTTTCAAAATGTGGCTCTCGCTGTAGCGCCTCGCTCATGTAATTCCAGAATTTGCAAGAGCTTCACGGATTGAGGGCGGATCATTTTCAAAATGTGGCTCTCGCCTTTGCGCTGCGCACATTCGTTCTTAAACTTTGCAAGGGTTTCACGGATTCCCATGATCACCGTACCAGAAGTTGCGTTTCGGAAGAATTTAAGAACATGAGGGCGCAACAGTTACGCTGATTCAGGGTGTTAAAGTCCCAGGAATGGCATTCTGGCACGATTCAGGATCGTCAAGACGCAAGTCAGGTTGACCCGTGGCGTTGGAATCCGGAGAACCATGTGTTGGCATGCTTCAGGGTCTTCAAACGGTTGTCTTTCAACGAGGCAGTTCCCTCAGTGGAAATGAACCGTTGTAGGGGTCTACGGAGAGGGAGCTTGGAGGGCGGGTTTATTCCAACATCGTTGATGACTCTCTGGTTTGCACTGACCCTCTTCCTCCTCCTCCTCCTCCTCCTCCTCCTCCTGCCCCTCCTCCTCCTCCTCCTCTTCCTCCTACTCCTCTTCCTCCTCCTCCTCCCTTCCGACCTTCATGGTATTATTCCCAACCCTCCTGTGGTGTTGGTTCCTCAATTTGAATCAGCAGAGCCCCGTGTTACTCCTCCCTTCTCCTCCCTCCTGCCTCATTTCGGCACACCCCTCCCACGCTTCGTGGCCCCATAGGGTGCTCCATCGAAGGCCTCAGTGGCAGGGGTCGCATGCGCTCCCGCCTCTCATGCCGGCACTCCCCTCACACATTTCGTGGCCCCGTAGGGAGCTCCACCGAAGGCCCCAGTGGCAGAGTTCGCATGCGCTCCCGCCGCTCATTTCGGCACGCCCCTGACACGCTTCGTGGAATAGGGAGCTCCACCGAAGGCCCTAGAGGCTGGCATGCGTTCCCGCCGCCCATCTCGGCACACCCCTCACAGGTTCCGTGGCCCCATATGGAGCTCCACCGAAGGACCCAGTGGCAAAGTTCGCATGCGCTCCCGCCGCTCAATTCGACAATTGAGGCACACCCCTCCCACTCTTCGTGGCCCCGTAAAGAGCCCCACCGACGGAACCAGTGGCGAAGTTCGCATGCGCTCCCGACGCCATTTGCGGCGCGCCCCTTCAACGTTTCGTGGCACCATAGGGATCTCCACCGAAGGCCCCAGTGACAAAGCTCGCATGCGCTCCCGCCGCTCATTTCGGCACTCCCCTCCCACGCTTCGTGACCCCATAGGGGGCTCCACCGAAGGCCCCCGAGGTAACGCTCTCATGCGCTCCTGCCGCCCACTGCGGCACACCCCTCCCACGTTTCGTGGCCCCATAGTGGGCCATTGAAAGATTTTGTGGCACGGTTCGCATGAATCTCCCCGTCCATTTTTGCATACGCCTCACAGGGAGCTCCACCGAAGGCTTTTGTGGCAGAGTGCGCATGCGTCTACTCGCCCATTTCGGAACACCCCTCGCACGCATCGTGGCCCCACAGGGAACTCCCCCTTCTTGCGTCCCATCTACCTTGCGTTGCGTACATTTGCATATGGTTGGATCCCTGCCAGGTTCTTTTCCTCCTCATCGTCCTCCACTACCTTCTCGCCACCGCGTAATGCACGGAGCGCACGGCCTCCTGGAATTCGCTCTGCGTAATTACGCCGTTGTGGTCCAGGTCGAACTTGCGGAACACGTCCCGGATGAGGGGGAACTTCTGGCGCATCGCCTCCGACAGAGCTGGGGAGGGCAGAGAGGGGTGAAGGCTGGGGGGGCCTCGGGAGGAGATAGTGGACCAGCAAACAATATGAACAGAGACTTCCGGGAGTATGCGCGGAGTTTCGGGGTCTGCGCTGGATCCCTTCACAGCGCGGACCCCGAAAAATGATGATCGTGTCCTTTGCTGTCCGCATGGGGGCGACGGGAAGGGAAGGGTATAAGGGAGAAGGGGAGGGGGGGGTCTGGGTAGCTTCTCGATGGCCCCGGGGCCCGGCAGGGGCCCCCCGACACCTGAAAACTGCCCCACGGATGTTCCACGGCGCGACCATGTCAGATCCTCTTCCTCCTCCTCCTCCTCCTCCGCCTCCTCCTTCTCCTCCTCCTCCCCCTCCTCGGTGCGGTCTGCAGCCCGGCGCCTCGCGGACCTTCTCCAGCACGGCGTCCATGTCGTAGGCACGCGGCTGGTCCGAGTTCTGCACAAACTTGGCTGTGTACTCGTCCTGACCCGTCGTCGTCGACGTCGACGTCGGTGATCGTCGCCGTCGTCTCCTTCTTCCCCTTCTCGCAGAGGTTTACCTCTACCCCCCCCTCTCTGGGTCTGGAGGGGGGAGGGGGCGCGACGCGCTGGAACGTGCAAGATGACCCAAGATGACTTCAAGATGGCCCCATGTAGCCCGATATGGCCTCCAAGGTGGCATAAGACTGCCCAAGATGGCTCAAGATAGCCTCTCGCATGCCTCCAGGCGACTCCAAGACCACCCCCAAGATGGCCGATGGGCTTCTGACGCCTCAAGGTGGCTCCAAGATGTCCCAAGAGAGCCCCGAGAAGGGCCCAACAAGGCCCCAGGACAGCCCCGACAGCGCCGAAGAGCGCCCTAAGAGCGTCCCAAGGTCCCCCAAGATGCAATCTGTCGGCTCGCGACAGAGACGGGGGAATTAGAACCCTCGTTTTATTGATCGACGCCCTCCGAGATGGCGCAGAAATCGCCCTAGGCTCCCCGAGAGGGCCCCCAAAAGGGCCCCAAAGGCCTGCAAACTGGCCCAGAGAGGTCCCAAGCTGGCCCAGGTAAGCTGCCAAACATCGAAAGATCCAAGCATTGATGGTTGACGCTTGGACCTTCTCAGGCTGATCCCAGTCATCGGTTTGACGGCTGCGCACCCCCTCTTTCTTCCACTGCTTTCTCCATACTTCTCTGACCGATGCAACTCGCGTGGGCATCGGTTCTGGACTGGCTGGTGGGGATACTGTTTGGTACGCAGGCGCGCGAAGCAAAGTCGAACGCCGAGAACACTAGGGCAGGTTGGTGGGGATACTTGTTTGATCGCGACCGCGGCGAGGCAAAGTCGGGCGGCGTCCAGGAGACCGCTGGTGGGGATACGCGAAGCGTCAAAACAATTCAATTGTTGTATACTGTGCGGTGCTCGTACCTACGCGAGCGCATCGCCAGACCTCCCCAGAACACGGGTCGACAGTGGGCAATTCCCGTAGGCATCAGGGCGAAGAATACGCAGAAGGATAGAGGCCAAGGCCAGCAAAGGCAGCGGGGCTCGAGGAAACGAACTAAACGCCACAGGATGCTGGGGGGTGAGGAGGGAATCGGGAAGAAAAAAGATGAGCGGTCTGTGCTTGATTTGTTCCGCGTAACTGTGGAGGGGAGGGGAGGGGGAGCGGACACGGCAACACGGTAACAAACTCGGCGACGCAAACGTGAAGCCAATGAACTACCTCAAATGGCGTGCGCACGAGCGAAGCAGAAGCGTCAAGCCACATCGACGGGCTGGGTTCAGCTAAGGAGGAGTGAAGGGGGGAGGGAGGGAGGGAGTGCAGGAGGGAGGAGGCGGAGGAAGAGGAGGAGGAGAAGGAGAAGAGGAGCAGCAGTAGCAGCAGCAGCAGCAGCAGCAGCAGCAGCAGAGAGGAGTCGGAGGAGGAGGAGAGAGGAAGAAGAGGACCGGAGAAAACCCAGGATGGATCAAAGATGCTGCAAGAGACACTCCCGTCCCAGGGCCCCGCCAGCCCCTACAGGCCCTCCCTGTTTAGCTATACAAGAAGGGCCCCCGTAAAAGACGAGCACCCTGTGGGCTTGGCCTTCAGGAGGAGAGCCCCGTTTTGAAAATGAACTGCCCTGCACCACTTTGGCGGACTACGAGGAATGCGCACGAAGCGCCCCCTGGAAAGATGAGCACCCTACAAGCCTGCCGTTCAGGCGCGAGAGCCCCGTTATGAAAACGGACTACTCTGTATCTTGCGAGATATACGGAGTGCGACATTTCATTACCGACAGGGCCACACTCAGAGTGAGAAGAGCAGATTCTGGGGTGCACCCTTCGGTTTGCGGTCGGTGTCGGATCGGGTTCACGATCGACTTTTCCTTCGATGCCACTGTCTGCATATTCCTATTCATATACTTTGCACTGATCCGAAGCCCTGCGAAAAACCGGCCACCCCCAACCAGAAAAATCCCCCCGCTTCCAGATCCATGGCTCTGAAGCCCCTCGGGCGGTCCCCTGGGCCTTGCGGGCCTCCTGGACGCCCCTGCCGAAGCTAGCCAGCGGGCACACAGCGGTGGAGCGGGCGGCCAAACGGATCCGCCAGAGTCCAAGGCGGCCCGACACAAACGCTCAAACGCCCTGAGACGCCCCAGAAGACCCCCAAGAGGGCTTTCCCAATGGCAAAACAAAACATTGTTCTTCCCATGGTTCCCCACATCCTGAGTGGGGTTCTCGTTTTCTCTGGGCACCCCCACGCAAGAACAGGATGGAACAGGAACGCCCCCCTCACATCATCTTCAGCATCATCATCATCATCATCAGCAGCAGCATCATCATCATCAGCAGCAGCATCATCATCATCATCATCACCAGCAGCAGCATCATCATCAGCATCAGCATCAGTATCATCATTATCATCATCATAAGCATCATCATCATCAGCAGCATCATCCTTATCATCATCATCATCATCAGTATCATCGTCATCATCGTCATCATCATTAGCATCATCATCATCATCATCAGCATCGTCCTCATCATCAACAGCATCATCATCAGCATCTTCATCGTCATCAGCAGCATCATCATCAGTAGCATCATCATCAACAACATCGTCAGCATCAGCATCATCATCATAATCATCATCATCATCAGCAGCATCATCAGCATCATCAGCATCATCGTCATGGTCATCATCATCATCATCATCACCAGCAGCATAATCAGCAGCATCAGCGTCATCACCAGCAGCATCAGCATCAGCATCAGCATCAGCATCAGCATCAACAACAACAACAGCATCAGACGGCGACGGCGACCGCGACTGCGACCACGACGACGACTGCGGCGACGTTGGCGATGATGGCGACGAGTGCGATCACGGTGACGAGACACCGCGGGGCTGGCGAGCGTCTCGACCGCCTCTTCCTCTTCGTCGGCGATCGGAGCATCCGGGATTGCGCTGGACTCGGCCCGCCACTCGTCCCTCGCGACCGGGCGTGCCCCCAGGTCTCAGTGACGCAATCACCTCCAGCTGCGTCGGCCGCTGCAGCCGTTCGTTTACAACTGAGACACGTGTGCGAGACGAGCAGGGTACTCCAGATTTCGTAATAAAGGGAGGGGGGTCTCATTTCGGGGGGGGGTCTCTTCCAGGCTATCTTGGAGGGCCTGGGGGGTCTGGGGACGATGTTTTGGAGGGTTCTCCCACGGGGGAGGTCTGAAATGGCTTGTCTTGGAGGGTCCAGACCCCCTCCCTTTTATTACGAAACCTGGAGTAGCTCCCCACCGCGAGAACCACAGCGTCGCCAGGCAAACTGGGAGCCTCGCACGGGCCGACCTGCGAGTTCGGCAAACGTCTCGGCCGCCCCGTCTCGGCCGCCTGTTCCTGCGGCCGAGCGCCTCGCAATGGGATTGTGTGTCGTTTTCTACTGGCTTATCGGCTCCAACAGTTGGGGCAGTCTAAACGTTCGGCGGCAACTCACGGGAGCTTCCCATACCATCTTGTTGGCTCTTGCGAATCGACGCTCGTCGACGCTAAATCGACGCTAAATCGACGCTAAATCGACGCTAATCGACGCTAGCCAACGCTAAATCGGCGCTATCTCATCGACTCCCGGACGCCCATCGGCGCTAGTCGACGCTAAAGACGGAATTGAGAGGGCACACCAGGCTCCCATGATTTGCTACCGAATAAACGGCTGCCTTCAGCCCTATAGCGCCTGCCGATGACGAGGATGGTGATATCGATGGCGACGGACATGACAACGACGACCGTGATAGTGATGGCGGTGGCGACAACGGCGAGAATGACGACGATTTTGTTGGATCGTCGCCAGGCAATGGAGCCACCGGGCGAACGATGATGGGGACGAGGAGGGCAACTGGCCTGGATCGCACCACTGAGGTCAAGCAAAACGAGCATGCCACGGAGGTAAAAAAAACAAGGGCATGCCGTCTCCGAGTAACTAGAAGAGCAGCGCGCACTGCAGCGCGCGCATGCCAAGGATTGGAGGAGGAGGAGGAGGAGGAGGAGGAGGAGAAGTGATTAGAGGAGGATCAGCAGTGGGACAAGGCACTTCTCCGAGCGGCTGCAGCGAAGCGTCTAGACAAAGACTTACTCGCTAAGCTATCTGGATCATTGCAAGACCGAAGCTCTCCCGTGACATGGGACCCATCCGGACGCCGGAGCCAGCGTCGCCAGGGCACACCTGAGTATTTACACAAGGTCCAAGGCATCGCCCTTCTACACGTGATGCCATTGCCGACGGCTCCGCCATCCGCAGAGCGCTAATGCGATCACAAAGGCGCCATAACGGCGGCCGCTAAGGGCGTTGACTCCTTCATCTCCACCTCTTCGGGGTCCCGCTCTAGGTCCTCCGTGCCCACGGCCATAGACGCCGAGACGGCCGCGAGGGGCGTCGATTCTTGGAAGTCCAGCTCTTCCGGATCCCACTCCAAGTCTTCGGTGCCGACACACATGTCGCTCGTCACTGCAGGAGGTGGCTCCTTGCCCGCACTCGTGTCCGCCCCCAGCCTTGCCGCCATGAGCTCCGTCCCCCCGCACAGGCCCCCCGTGACGAGCCCCACCACCACTAGCGCAGCCGAGACGATGCCCATGATCCGAGGCGCATCGCTGCCCGCTGGCTTGCCCGTCTGGGCCGGTGCCCCGGGCACCGCGGCCGCTGCCGTCGTGGTGGCCGCCGGCTCCACGCCGTCCTGCGGCCCGAGCGCCGCCACCGCCGTGGTGGCTGCCGGCTCCGCACCCTCCGGCGAGGCGGGAGGATGCGTCACGCCCGCTGCAGCGCCCGTCGTGTGAACGGTGCCCTGCGCGAGCGTCGCCGCGGTGGTGGTGGCTGCCAGCTCCGCGTGGAGCTCCGGCGCGGGCGTCCCCGTGGCCGTCGTGGCCTTCGGCTCTGCGGCCGAAGGCGCCAGCGCCCCCGCCGCCGTGGTGGTGGCCTCCTGCGCTGCAGTGCCTGCGGCGAGCGTCGAGGTCGCCACGAGCGACGGGTCC